ACATTAATATAAAACGTGATTTAGTGTTATTAGTTGTAGAGTGTTATTACTTGATATATATACATATATGTACCGTTTGAATCAAAACTGTTGCTTTTGAAAATATATGATTTAGAGCACATTTACACACTAGACCATATATGGTGTACAGCACCAAAATTGTCGCGTTAGTGACGAGTGTCGCGGCCGCGACACTGGGGCCATAATCTCTGTCCATTGCACATGTCCCAGTGTCGCGTCCGCGACACTTGTCGCGGCCGTGACATTCAACTATTTTTATATAACGATTATGTTTTCGTTATGTGTATGACATAACTAATATATATTCATTATTTAAACAAAAAAAACAACTGTCGCGTCCGCGACGGGTGTCGCGGCCGCGACACTGGGACCATAATCTTCTGAAAATTACGATTTTATATTTCCACGTCAACATTTAAAATCATGCGTTAACTATCCACTTTCGAAAGGCGATCTCAGCTCAGGGGAATCAAGAGCTACTGGCCGCATAAACGAACCGTGTGTTAAGGCCTCGACCAGGAGAGAAACATCTGGAACTTATAACCTAAAAGAGTCTCCAAGTGTGATATTAACAAGGAGTTCTGGGTTAGTACACATGTTCCTAGTATATGGTAGACTGATAAATTCGACACTTATGCCAATCCATGTCATAAAATACAAGGCAACTATTTTGCCTCCTGCACTAAGGAAGGCACCAATTAATGCCTCGGTCACATTTGCCACAGTCTTACTCTTTATTATTCTGCAAAACATCTTGAAAAATGATATACATCTATGTACCGATTGAATCAAAACTGTTGCTTTTGAAAATATATGATTTAGTGCACATTTACACACTAGACCATATATGGTGTACAACATATTTAAACTTGATTAACTTAATTACATTAATATAAAACATGATTTAGTGCACATTTCGATATACGTTTCTTTTTTAAATAAATTTTATATATTATAAGTTATATAAAAAATTTATAATATTTATTATTGAGTGATTTTTTTTTTAATTGAAAATTGACATACTGTTACGGTAGCGACTCGGAGGGGACAGAACAAGTGCCAGCCCGTCGCGTGCGTGGCATTTGTCGCGGGCGCTATGATTTGCATTATTGGTATAACGATCGTTTAAGGTTGATTTTGTCGAAAAATATGTTTTCTACATTCTTTATTATACATTAAAAATGATTGAAATTGATTTCTACATTCTTTATTTGGTCGAAAAAAATGATTTCTACATTCTTTGTAAATCCACTATTTAAACATAAAATCTTTACAAATTCTTAATTTGACATGAAAAAAAGACTAAAATTAGACCGATAACGAGTTTAATATCTGCGTAATGTTTTAACTTAATATTTGACACTCGTCGCGTCCGCGACAGAATTTTGTTTTTGTTACGTGTTACTACTTGATACATATACATGTATTGAAAAAATAATACAACAATGTATTATCCAAAAGATCCATACAACTCGTTACATATTAAATGTTTAAAACAAACTACGGATCAAAATGTGCACCAAATATCTCAGCAGCTAGTTTTTTCACGCCAAACACTAATACGAGATTGATCTACGTCTTCAACATTCTTCCCAGCATACAAAAATTCTATAAACTTGATTGTAAACATCCCACAATCAAACCTGCACCATAAATGTACATATTCTATTACTTTAACAAATTTCATAATACACTTAAAACTTAATATGATCAATATGACTTATCTATGTATATATAATTGTGGGCTAATCCGCATTTAATAAAAATTTAATAAAAACATTTTCACTTTCCCGCCTAAAAACGTTACATGTTAGTTTATTGATTTTTTTTTTTCTATAAATACAGAAGCTTTGATTATGTTGTGTATTGAATGTTACAATTACTAAAAAAGCATTATATTAGTCAATACTAAAAATTGTAAGTTACGTTTTTATTTTATTAAATTAAATTAAATATGTCATTAACTAATAAACATTTATTTAGTTAATAAAATTATAATCAGTCATTTTCTTAAAATTTTAGGTTTTGCTCTAAAAATGAATATTTCAGAGAAAATTGAAAAATACAAAACATATACAAAAATTAAAAAAACATTACAAATTATTACAAATTACAAATTACAAATAAACATTTAATTAACCACCCTTCAGCCTTGAATTGAACCTGCAAAAAATAATTAAAATATACAAATCAGTAAATAATTTCATCATCTCATTATTTAATAAGAATATAAAATTAATACTAATGTAATGTTATGTTATAAATATGAATATTAAACTGTTCAATTTCAACAAGGCGGGAAGAATACATTTAAATCAAAATCCAACATTTCAACAAGGCGGGAAAAAATCAAATTTGTTTTATAAATTAAAAACATAGAGAAATATTATTATTCCATGATTTTAGCACATTATTTATACATAATAATATTATTATTAAATGTCAGTTACAATTTCCGAAAATGAATGAAAAAGAGGTTGATTTATGCACATATATATTATACATTAAATTAAATATATTAGATGAATTTGATTAACCCTTGATTTATGCACATAATATTATATATTGAATTAAATATATTAAATGCACGATTTTGACCATACTGAAACCATATAAATATGAGCAACATTCATTCACAATTTATCATTGCAATTTTCAGCAAACACCAAAAAAAAAAAAAAAA